TTCTGTTGTTTCTGAATCATTGTTTTCCCAGAGAAGGTTCGTGAGTGTAAAGAGTAGGGGGAAGTCCTGGTCAGGTCTACTCATCAGTCATGGGCCTGATGGTCAGTGGGAGATGGCCAGAAACGACGATAATATCCTTTTTTATTTCTGTGCCTTAAATTCACTGCGCACCAAACTGTGCGAGCTCCCAGTGGCACTGAGGAGCTGAAACATTAGTTGAAATCTTCAGAGTAAAATTGTCGTGGCTATGCTATATAAATGTATGTGTGTATTTTTCTAGTCGTGCCCTCTGAGCTGACATCAGAGAGGGAATTGGTATGGGAAGGTATATATCAGCTCTGCGCTGAGACCACCATCCTTTGCGCTGGATGCCTGAATGCAGGACGGCGTATTCAGCTTTATGGATGAAATTTTCCAGATCTGCAAATGCTTTTGCTTGTGAGCATATTTGAAAATCAGAGAAGGTGATGACCCTTTTAAAATAAAAATGGAATTGCTGGCAGGAAGGAAAGGTACAGCTCAGTGTTCTTAACATTTAGAGATGGTTATAAAATGTATATTGGCTGTTTTTGTAATTTATAGTGAAACTGCTGTTGCTTTTAATAAAATGAGACTTCCAGTCAGAATTTCATGATTATGAATGTGAGCATTTTGTTATTCAACTAGGATTTATCCTACAAATAACCGTTTTCCAGCAGAACTGTGGCTATATACATAATTTAATGGGATTCTCTGTCACACATAATTCTTTCTGAAGTCGGACTCGTTGCTGAATACTTCAAGTCTTTGAATGTGGCTCAAGAACTGAGTTAGTGGTAACTTTCATGATTTTTAATTTAATTTTTCCTTAATTCTGAGACTTTTAAAACTTCCTGTAATTCCTTATTAGATTTACCATTTCAAGTGCTTATTTAAAAGGCACCTTAGCTGCAGAAGCAAATCAATATTTACAGTGCATTAGTGCCATAGAGAATTTGAAGCCTTGTGATTAGAGTTCATTGCTGTTTTATCCACTCTTCAAAGAAACCACAGACTTCAAACGGTATCAGCCATCATCCTGGAATCAGTGACATCGCATCAGTCCCATGCGTACTTCATCTTGTGGTTTAATTATTAAGTTCCTTTCCTTTGATTTTCCTTTTAATATTTCAAAGTATATCCTCTTCAAATCTATAAATTCAGGTAAACCAGAAGATTGTAAGCAACAATATATTGGCAGAAAAATCTGTTCAATATATTCTTTTTTGTTGTTGTTTTAATGGAGAGTACCAAAACTGGATTAGAATAGTCCCTCAGAACAGAACCCCTCAGAGACAGGAACGCAGATTATATTTACAAATTGTGGTTAACAGAGTGTGAATAAGATTTAATTCTTGGATTAACACCTGGAGCGGTGTTGACCATTGCCAAGCAGCGTACACTAGAGCTAGCTCCATGTGCTTGTCCCATTCCAGTAATTAAAAAAAAAAAAAAAATTACCATATGTTTAAATTTCTAGTTTAACCGGGAAATACATAGATCCAACACACTTGAATTACTGTCTTCTATAATTCACTTTATAGTGAAGTTTGGTTGGTAATACAAATCACTTTTCTTGATGTATGGAACCATTTTCATAAGGAGAGACTAGAATTGGTCACATTGTATCTTTGTATTGGCAGAATACCTTTTTTTTTTTTTTTTTTTTTGAAAAAAGAAAGATTTGGAGAAGTGTTTAGTAAATGTTTGAAAATAGTTCCACTAACTACACTTACTGAAACGAAATGGGTCATATTAAAGGTGGCTCATCAGCAAATAGATTTTGTAGAGAAACTTCTCACGCTAAAGTTTTCTCTGGAGTATAGCAGTATTTGGGAATTCCGTTGCATGATTAGCTTTCTCTGTTGTGACACGTCTCTGCTACCTAGCATGGTGCGGACTGCCAGGTTGTCGCTACAACGCAGAAGGCAAGGCAGTGAGAATTGCTTGCTTGCCTCCAGAAGTGCTGACTTAAACTCCTGTTTCTTCCTTTGCTTCTTTGTTGGAAATTCGGCTTCTCTTCTTACAGGAGCTCGCCCAACTGAACTTTTGTTTTGTCAAGTAATTTGAAGAAAGGGTGTAAAAACACAAGAACACTTCGCTATCACCGTGCTTATATATAGATGTACGAGCAGAAGGAGCAAGTGAACTCGTGTTTGAAAATTGTAGTTCTCTGCTGTAGGGTGAGTAGCTGAGGCAAACAGGATAGTATGGACGGGCTGCTGCTTGGAACAAATATAGACAGGGTTTTTTTCTTACGTGGCACTACATACTACAGAGCCACTTTCTTGCCCAGGCCTTTCTAATAAATGAAAGGGTATGTTGAGGGCTACGCCAGCGGCACAGGCACCGCTGTTACTGGGGCACTTCATGGTGCGCCGCCAGGCCGGGGCTGGGGCTGCAGCTGGGCCACCTTCGTTACAGAGATCTCGTGGTGTGGTAGTGTGCTTTTACCGAGTTTGCCGTCTAGGGGGGAATGAGAGGCTTTACCTTCAGCTGCTGCATGAAACTTGAAGTAGTTGAAGACAAGGCAATCAAAGAAAATCCCTCTATTATGATGTTATGAGTATATACTGAGTAATTAAAATCAAAGTAGAGTTAACTCAGACCATAAATACTTTTCTATGTAATTAAAGTGTTCTTTCCTGAAATATTCTTTTAATTACTTCTAGTTCTGTTATACATATGTGTACATATTTATAAAAGAAAACATTTTATTTGCTAGAAATTAGGGAATATTTTTGTTATGAAAATAGTTTAAAAAAAATTCAAAAGAAAAAGGAATAGTACAACGATTGTAGGGTTTTTTTAATTCTCTGCTCTTCCAGTATACCAGTCTGGACATGAAATAGAATATCCATTTGGTGTTTCAGCCTGTAACTTGTGTGTACCTCAGCAGAATAAGTCCTAGTTGTCAAAAAAAAAAAATGCTCACACATTTTCTCTGTGTGGCATGACTTACTGTATTTTTCACTGTCCTTATAATGCCGTGTAAAATAAGATTCTATGTTTTAAAACTGTTACATGTAGTTTTAACATAAAGCTATTGTAAAACTTAAGGCTAGTCACTTAAACTCCTGTCATTATGTTTTCCTGCT